GCTGTTGACTGGAATCCATGCATCCGCGTCTTATCAAGTCTTTTGCTGTACATAGGAAAAGCTTTTTCAACACTTTTTACTTATAAAAACTTGTAAAAGGTGCTACGTATGAGACAAGTATACATAGATTGTACTTGTATCTTCTTTTCAATATAAAAGAATTAACTAAAGAATACAGACTGGCCTAGTGTCTTAGTCATCTCTTTGAATATTTTCTCTCTCGTGGTTGACAAACAATTTTCTGTTTTTCTCTCTAGGGATTGACTTATGTAGGGAATTGAAAATGTGACACCCATTTTTTCGTATTATACGCACACACAGACAGCCATTTTGTAATATCCAACAGTAAAGTCGAGGGAACAGAGTATACAAGGTAACATTCGTCTGCACTCGCTCGGTCCGTTGACTTATGGAACTTATATCTGTGAACGACCTCCTATGACTTTGACACCAAGACAACACTCACACCACTCTTCGGTCGGCGTTTGCTAGAGGACTGTCTAAAATATGTTATGAATTTTTCTCTGATTTAATGTGTAAGCTTTGTAGTCTAATACAAATCAAAACAGTCTTTTCGAGACCCTCCAAAGATCCCGAGAGGTCTAAACATATTGACAATGGCAATGTTCCGACTCGATTCGTTCTGATAAACTGTCTATATTCTATCAGTTTATTATATGTTGAAAGATAACTTTTTTGTGTTATCACAGATGACTGCTTTCTGCCGACATCTATCTCCGAACTATAGAAAAACTCCGCTTAGTTTTTTTTCTCTCTTCATCAGTAGATATTTCACCGATCTCTTTGAATATTTTCTCTCTTGTGGTTAAAAAAGAAGGTTTTTAGTTTTATCTCTTGTGATTGGCTTATCTATGGAATATCTGACAGATATTTTTCCGTATTTTGCGCACACAAACACACACACAGATAACCATTTTGTAAGACCCTAGACTAACGTCAAGGGAATAAAACGAGAGAAAAAACAAAGAAGTGTATATATACGTCTTATTTGGATAAAGCCTAATAACAAAAACACAGACACAATTGTGTCTAGCACATAAATTATAGGTTATTCCCTTGACTGAAAGTCTTGGGTCATACAAACGAAATGTCCGTCCGTGTGCACTATCCGTTCCAAAATACAAGAGCCCTGGTCATTTTTTGAATAATCTTCGATAGAAGATAGGTAGAGACTTCTGGTTTTAATAGCCAAGATCTGTACACATCTTTTCACAAGCAGAAATGATTTTTGAAAGAGTTTCAAAGACCGAATTTTGGGCAGATCTTCGGAAAACCAGTTTGAATCTCTGAGAACTGACATAGAAATGGGTCAATCTTTCTTCATAGATAGATAGTCCAAAGTGTCCTCTGCAAAATGGGAACAAAGCAAACACTTAATTTTTTCCGGTTCAGGCGTGACATCGGATTTCCTGAGAGTCCCAGAATCAATATTTCTTTAGGTGTAACAATTCCGACAATAAATAGTAATATAGGTAATCGACCACGTTGAATCTTGTGACAATATTTGTTTTTCAAAATACTTGCAAAAACCTAGTAAAAACCTAAATTAGGTGAAATAACCCATTTTTGCCTATATCTGAGTATAATTAAAAAATTTACAACCAAGTCAAGATCCATCCAAATTACGTCAGAATATCAAGATGTACTCTATTTTACCTGCTCTAAATGATGCAGCTCAATAAAAACGATAAAAGTCAACAGAAAATACTTTGATTTTTGAAAGTATTTTCTAGAAATCTTTCGACGTACAGCAATGATTTTTACTATTCTCAAGTAAAAAAGCATATAGAGCAGGTACTGTTGACTTTTATCGTTTTTATTGGATAGTAGGGGCAAAAAATGAATCTGTTGGTGTGTATCTCTATCCTACTGTATAAGTACATCATTTTTTTTTGAATTTTCAGGTTGAAAATTTATCGAGATTTTCACCAAAAAATGAAAATGAACTAAGGATTTCGAAATACACATCAGCCGATTCAATTCTTGATCTTGATTTCGAATATGATACTTTTATTCCATAGAAGTTGAGTGCCGTTGGAGAAAATTGAGAATTACGAGGTCATTTTCGACTTTTTCGCCTCTTATTTCGAAAACATGAATTTTCTCAGAAAGGATACAAAATTTTAAGAAAAGTTAAACGTAATTTAAAAGCTGGGCTTCATTTAGTTTCTGAGATACTTGACAGACCCATGGCATGGTCCATATCCTGGAATCCGTTACCCTCTACTTCTGGCGTGCGTATAGCTACTTGTTTAATTATGATCTGTTCTTGCTCTCATTTAACTAGCTCTATACTTTAAAATGTATGTATAAGCTCTTTATCATATCCTATTTGAAATTTGTTTCTCATCGCCATAAGATTTCAGATTATTTAGCAAAAGCAATGGTAGAAGGTCAAAAATGTCTGTCTTGCGGAGAAAGAGCTACTTCAAGATGCGCAAACTGCCGCACTGCTAGCTACTGTAGCGTGAAATGCCAAAAGCAACACTGGCGCAATCATATTTTCCAAAAAGTTCAGAAAAATTTCCAAACAAATTGGCGCAGAAAAATCTCCATGGCAAAATTATACAATTTTGAAAATTTTTCTGAACTTTTTGGCGGTACCCCTCGCTAAAAATAGAAAATTTTCGAGGTTATCGAGTGTGCTGAATACGAAAAAGAACTTTTGTTTAACTCTAAACATACTTTAATTTTTTGTCGGTGATATGCTTTCGCATAGCGGAAGCTGATGGATTGCTTTTCAGTACAAGATCTTGTTATTTTCAATCACTTCTATGCAAGCTTTTCTTGTCATTCATAGAAGTTTAGCGATGTAAAAAAGTCTTTTCTTGCTCAAGAAAGTCAAGATCTCGAAACACTTTGTAAGAAATGCCTTTGTTATGAAACGAAAGATAAATGACGTTATGGATTGATTAGTCTATGCTCCCTTAAGAGAAAGTCTGTCAGAAAACCGACCTGGAAAGCGAATAATGGCCGGAGCTAATTTTTTTTTTGTTCTTAGTATTCTAGTTCAAGAGAGGTCATAAAAAAACCGAGAAATCCAAGATATCTCGCTTTTGTATGGCACTGTTCAAGAATTTGATGAACTTAACTTTTCAGCCCTCACCGGAAGATCCATTTTTCGATAAAATCAATGTTTGTTTAATATCTCAGAAGCGGCTTGATTCTTAGGGCTCGTTCATATCTCATATGAAAGAGAAATGTTTGCTCTACAAAATCACTGTGGAAAGGTGTAGTGAAAGGTAGCATCCTGGGCGACCACAAGGCAAAAACTGGAAAAATCTATTTTTTTCAAACATGCTTATTTTTAGTATTTTGGACCTGGAAATTGCTAGTCCAGCTTGACTAAAAAACAAATTCTATTATTTTGTACAGTTGATAATTCTGCATTGATTGATATGTAAAAGAAAATTTTAAATCACTAGGAGGATGTTTTAAGAGATGTACGTAGGGGAGGTATTCTGCATTTTTGCAAATATCTACTTTTCAACGTGTTTTTCTAATTTTTTAGGTAGTCTGTAGTGGCAGTACAATAAATTTAACAGATTTGTACAACATGTTCACTGCTTCTAAACGAGAATGTGCGCCACTACTGGAATATTTATTACTTCTAGCCGGTTTTTTCAACCTGAAACCCGTTAATTTACAATGTCATAAAATATGCTCCAATCATTATGATTCATAATGAAATCACCAAGGCGTAATAATTGTTTTCTGTACAAACCAGTATTCTAAAATCGAAAATCATCTACTGAGGATCTACGTTCGATATCAAAACCATTGGCATTAATAATTTGGAATCAGTTTGATTTATCAGCATACAATCAAGCAGTGTGTGGCGTTTGTCGTAGGAAGCTTGAAAAGGATTATTTAACAAAAGAAATTCACCAGCAAAGTCAACAATTGTTCCAGTGGATGTATGATCAAAATGTGGTTCATACACCGTCAACAATTACCGGCAGTTCGTACAAACAAGAGGTCGAAGAAATAAGAGCAACAGAGCAAAAACAAGATTTGAAACAACAGTTAACAGAAAATGGATTTGTTGGTAGAATTGAAATGACGAAATCCTACAATCGTCTAAATGGTAAAAGCCAAAAAAATTTTTGTCGTCAAACAAAACAAATTTTATTACATTTTCTGAGTATTCTTGCTCCAAATGACGTCGAGAATGTTTATACCGGATTTGACTCAACGGAAAATAAAAGCTGCTTGTCGCCAAACATATTGCAATGGTAGACTTTTTTTAACGCTTTTCTAGTGCTGACTTGTACAACCCTTTTTTACTTTGTAGGTCGTGGTACAATACCGGATTGTGAAAGAGGACATATTGGTCGTTACAACGATAGTCAAATAGCACACTTCATCGAATTTACTCTCGTCACATATAACAACAGATCTTCCATTTGGAAAGAAGAAATTGAATTAGAAACTGGTGAAGAAATAATCATACCAAACACAATCCGTAATTTAATTCCAACAAGAATCATTCAACAATATCCAGCGTTTTGTCATGAAACTCAATCAAAGAAAGGTGGCGATGATGATCAAAACAAGAATGCAGATCCCAACAACGATTTTCAACCGTTAGACGAAACCAGTTTGTATGAAATCTTAAAAGCGTGTTCATCTTCAACACGTAAAAGCCTTCAAGGTTTGGATTATTACGCCGCTGACGGTTCAAGTGCATTTCACAGCTTAGCAAAAATATATGAAGAACTAGCAGCATATGGTGAGTAGTAAGCTACAGTTTTATATTTTTATACTAGAAAATTTGTCTCACTTTCATTTCAGCAGTATGATCCGAGGAAATAGTAAAACTGAAACGAGCATTGCATGATTGTCGTAATTATATAAAAACAGATTATAAACTACATATTTCGATCGACAGCGAAATTGTCGACCATTGTATTAAGTATGCACTTAGTGATCCAAAAGAAAAATCTTGGCAGTTAAACTGTAATAATCACTAAGATGACGAAAAGTGCAATCAATGCGAACAGTTACATGTGTCGCTTCAACAGCTACGTGATATGGTCAAGAGAACCAAAACGAATGATATTCTACGCACTCGCTTATTATATCGTGTTGATTTGTTTGTGAAAGCGATAAATGATTGGAAAGCTCATCAACTGCGGTGGTGTATATTCTTTTATTATCTAAATAATAGGGCATGTCTCTCTTTCGGTAGTAAGGGAAAAAGTTAAAATGTTTCTCTTTCAAACAAAATAGCTTAGAATAACTGAGTTTTTTGCGTGATATAGCTACTATACTAGATCTCTCTATCAAACCTTGTAATACATAATTCTGCCATGCCAGATTATACTTATATATTGTAGTGTTCAACAAGATGGCACCAAACAATTTGTGTTAGAAAATTTGGATGGAGAAAGTGTGTTTATATTTCTTGATTGGGCGATGAAATGGTTAGCAATGAAATATCGTGAAGGTCAAAAAGATTTCTTCGCCAAACGCGGTTGTCCATGGCATTTAGCGTACGTCATTCGTGTCAAATCATCCAACTCAATTTCAACAACACCCAAAACAAAAGAATTTGAACACAAAACATACGCTCACATATTCGACAGTTGTGTGCAAAACGGACAAGCAGTTACAAGCATACTTGAATATATTTTTAGCCGATTGAAAGCCTCAAATCTAGAAATCAAATACGTCTATTTATGTGCTGACAATGCGGGATGCTATCATGGTGTTGAAAGTATGTTATAAAATGGATTGACATGTATGGCTATGATTATAAATAATTTATGCTGTTTTTATTCGTTTCAGCATTATTGGCTGTGAAAAAATTATATGCTAATACTGGCATCCTTATTCGTCGATTTGACTTTTTCGATCCACATGGTGGGAAAGGGCCTTGCGATCGAATGGCTGCTGTGGTGAAATGTGATGTTCGATGTAGTGTTAATGAAAAAAACGATTGTACTAACAGTAGAGGATTTGTTACTGCCGCAAGATTGACACGTAATTTATCAATACTTGCAAGTAAAATTAGCCCATCATCATCCTCATCTATAAAAGTGAAGTGGACAGGTGTTCTGTTATACAACAATATTGAATATAATTTGAAATCAAATGTGGGATAAGAGTTCCAGCTTTAATTTGGAATCTTTTATAAGAGGGGCACAATCGTACGAAATTCGTAAAAAACTCTTATCTCAGCAATTACAAGTCTGTTCATCGAAAGCAATTCATGGTATATACGGTTTAATGCGCTCTACAAAGTTATGTAAAAAAAACGGTGGTGGTTACCCCCTCTTAAATAATTATTTTTGTCCACTTTTTTAATATTTTCACGGGTAATCGATTCCACTAAAACCTGTGTGTGAGAACGTTCTACTGGAGTCGAAGAAAGTGAAAAATGGTTAAAAGTAAACTCAATTTTCGGTTTGTCATTCCATCAGAATTTAAAAAGAATTTTATGACGATCATTACAAATTTATGAAAACTATTTTCTAATGTTCGAACAATCAGAGTGGCGACTACTCAGAAAAATGATTATATGAGAAAAGATTTCTGTAATTATTACTTTATTTCAAAGATCTCTTTCAATAAAGCAAGCTACATTCGTAATTTAACTATCTCAAAAAGTGTCCTACATCCGTCCCATGACATCACAATAGCAATGTCCTTTAGTTCGAATGTCTATTAATGGGTATTTGTATTTTAGCCGTATAAATTTATCACTTAGCATATAACTCTTATCAAATGTTAAATATAAACGTTTTAATGATGGATGAATTGATTGTATTAATACGAGTAATAAATCATTACTGTCTTTATTAGGCCTAATTATCATATTTAGTTGAAAATGTTCCAAATAGTTGACTTTAATATGATCAAAGGAAGGTAATTCATTTCGTATATAACGTTGAGTAGTTGGAATAAAATCTAAATTTATATAGTAAATATTGCAAATATGTTTAAGTAAACATATGAGATTATCGAATCTATAAACTTCTGAAAAATGAATAGTATGCAGATTCGTCCGTTGACGATCATTTATTAAATTTTGTAATGCTGTACCACACAATTGTGTTGAATATGGTAGAGCATTCGGATTAAATAAAACTGTACTTATATTTGTCGACTCAGCATCGATAATATTCAATGACGTGAGATGTGGAAGACGATAGAGTGATGGTACTATATAAAATAAATCATTTAGACATATTTTGATCAATGTTAATTGTCGTATATAAGAAAATAATTGATCAAATTGTCGATTACCCCTATTTAAATAATATCGAAACCGTGCTTTGTCACATCATATAACAATTTTTAATGATAATAATGATGGAAAAATATTATTAAAATAACTATCAACTTCATGAATGTTACTGTGGATCAGAGTTGTAACCGGTCTGGAAATACTAGGCTCTGTGAAAACAAATGATGTATGTTTTAAATATCGAATATACTCATTATAGATTAAATTATCAAAACGTTTATTCTGATTTAAAAATGATTTGAATACATGCGATGGTTTTAAATAAATGAATATAATTAGTCAAACATCATTCGAAAATATTTCAAATTGTGGCATCATATTTAATATATACACATACTGATACTTAGTTATTCTCTTTTCGAGATGTGCGTGAGTGTCACAGCCACGATAACGGTTATGCGTGGTAGTATTTTTTGTAAAATTTCAGTTATTTTCAAATAACTTTTTTTTCTTAAATTTTCGTGAGAAAACTTGAGTACAAAAAATGACCGCATGATTGAAAGGAATTCAACAAAACGTCGTACTTTTAAAAAAAAGACATTTTCTGCGAGCTATATGCTACATTGGCACAGCAGAAGAATTATTGTTGAACAAAAAGAATTGTTATAGTCGCATGATGTTCCGGTTTAAAGGTTATCGTTTCCAATGAATAAATAATCCGATATTTTGCTTGTAACTTTTCAACGAAAAACGATAGAGACCTGCGGTTTTCAGTTTCTGACAATGGATTAAAGGGGTTTGAATTTGTTTAAAAAAGAATGGAAAAGTGCCGTCTTCAGGCGACATATCTTGCTTAGATTTTGCTGTATAGACCTTGCACAGTCAACATCTTTAACTGAGTCTACACAATGGGTAAAAGACCTTAGATTCGGTGAATTATCTGAGAAGCATCACCTTTCAAAACTAATGAAGACAGTTCAGTTTTGTGATAAAAAAACGAAGGACGATTTAACTGTCGGTCTTCCTTCGTTTCCAATTGCTGTGGACTTACGTTGAACTTAAAAGCTCAAATTATTTCATTTTTTTTATACCTTTCTATGACAAATCAGTAAGCAAACACCGGTCGAAACATGCCATAAATGTGAGTAAAAATAACCGCCATCTTCACAGCGATTATTTTTACTTTTTTGAAAGGTGATTTTTCTCAGATAATGTACCGAATCTAAGGTCCTTTACCCATTGTGTAGACTCAGTTAAAGATGTTGACTGTGCAAGATCTTCAAATAAAAATGCACAAACTTTCGTATTGCAGTTAGTGCAGATACGTGAGAAAAGTAAACATTTTCATCCCGAGATGCTGCGCATCCAAGAAAAATGGAACCGCGCTATTATTGATGCTAAACTACAAATCATGTATGATCATAACAAAGACTAGAGATAGCCAAAACTGAAGAAAATTGACAATTTCACTGAGCTTGTTCAGGAAGAGTGAACAGAACACATCCTCCGATCAGAAGATGACTTATACGCCTTCGATAGAATATCAATAGCGATAGAATATCAAAAATCGGGTTCTAGCAGCCTCTAGTCGCACGTGTTTTCGTCAATTTAAGGCCAGCCTGAGCTCTCCACCAGGTTGCGTTCCTCAGAAATTCTGCAACTACGAATAGCCTCTTTTGAGGCGACATATCACAAACCACGCTAGATCGAGCGAAATAAAAAATTTTGTCACCATACTTTCACAAGATCAGCATCTCCTAAAGCTTTAGTCAAGATCGGGCTTAAACTTTCTAAGATAGGTTTCTGACGGGGGCGGGTCTTAAACTTTTGCTGAAGCAGAGTTCCCTTAGAATCACAGAATATGCGGATAGTTTTTTTAAAAAAAGAAGTGAAATTTTTCACTAAAATCGTCTTTCTTCAGCGTTACTGTAAAAATTTCTTTATTTCATTCCTAAGTGGAGAAAAGAACCATACTTCGAATCCCAAATGGATTCGAAACGACAAAAATGCAGATTTTAGGCGACATATTGCGCTTTTCAGTTTATTTCAACAAATATTTCCAAAAAGGTTCATGGAGTAAAACAGAAATACATAATTTTTATAGAAGGTTTTGCAGTTCGAAACGTAGCACGCACACGTCGTTCAGAAAATGAAAAGAAGCTTTTTTCCAAAAGCACGCATTCTACCTCGAAAACTAAGATGAGAATACACTGTTTTCGGTAATGTGTGCGACAACGTTTGAGTTGACAAATGTCAAGAAGTTGTGAAGAAAATTATTAGAAAAGTTTTTTTTCTTTTCTTCAAATAGTACGTTATTATTCGTACTGTGGCAACAGTAACTATGTCTTATATGATACGGTCCTGAGTAATTCACGACATAGACGATGACTCATATTTTTACGTGCAGAAGGAACGAAAGAAGATTATATCACTCAGAATAACAAAACATTTGAAAAGTGAGCTTATCGTGCTATTATTGCACCCTGCAGAGTATAATGAAATTATAAGATCTCCAGTATGCATTCCACCATAATCGATCTACTTCTTCAGCCATTAACGTTATTTCAAACGGTTTCATCAGAGTACACTTTCTTTTGACACTTTTCCCAAGTCATAATTATGCAACCCCTCAAAACTTTTATCCACGAATTCTCCAACATTTTATTTGTTGGATTGTTATCTCATATGGGATTAAACAAAGTCAAACATTACTTCGTAAAAGTATTTTTGCCGAGATGCAGAACTTAAAACATTACATAGTCCTATGGTTTTTGATCATTTTTCGTAGTACTGTCACCACTATGTTTAAAGTTCTTGTATCTTGGCAACAACTCAAAAAAGACAAAAAATAGGACCGCTACATGCCCAATCCAGGCATGCACCAGTACCAATCATTATTGAAAATATTGTACAATATTACTGGGCATCGAATATATTGGTCCCAATATTATTGGATACCCGATAACACTGTACAACTAACGCTGCATAGTACCGGACAGATTCGATTTTCTTTAGATTAGTATCAGTAATCAATGAGTATATAATCGAACCATAATTAAATAATGATAAAACCAAGGAATTATAAGTTCAAGAACATTTCTACATAATAACCATTTATTATAACACATCAGGGCAACAATCAAGCTCGCACGAGCACAAACTTTATTAACGTGTATTGTCCAGGAAAGATTAAATGTAGGCACAAACCCAAATAGTCTTCCTCATATTCTTTTAGTGAAACAGAGTTAAGCATCAATGGTGATAGAGCTACAGTACGAGTACGATGCCGACGAGAGGAAAAAGGTATGCTTTTACACTTTTTCAAATCAGGAGGACTCATTCAAGAACTTTATTCAAGATCTCAGTAGCGACAAGTGGATCTTTTTGGTGACAAATAAGAAGAGCATCATCAGCATACAATCTAATGATGCTTTCAATTTTTAATGGTAAATCACCAATGTACAATACAAAGAGTAGCGGATCTAGTACCGAACCTTGCGGAACTCCTTTATCAATTTTCACAGGACTAGCCGCTACACTTTCTAATATTGTTTGAACGGTTCGTACAGTAAGATAACTCTCGAACCATTGCAGTGCTCTCTCTTGGCCCTTCCTCTCCAACTTAAAAAGCAACCCTCGATGACTAACATTATCAAAAGCCATTTGAAAATCTAATAAAACAGCTCGTACATAGTGATGATCCTCAAAACCAGCATTTATTTTATGAACAACATCAAGAAGCAAGTTTGTCATACTATCTTTAGAAATAAAACCAGACTGAAAAGCAGGCAAAAGCTTATTTTTCGTTAAATAATTGTATAGCTGGCGAAAAACTACACGTTCACAAACTTTCGAGAGGGCTGGCAATAATGTTACGAAATGGCTATTGTCACTCCCGGGAGTGTCAGCAAGGCGCTATTGGTACTCCCAGCAAGTGTTTGAGGATGTCAACACAAAACGTGATATAACGCGCCCTCCCAGGTAGCTTCTTGTTCGAAACACGCGGGGTAAATTATATTCAAGGCGCTCAAGGTACATCATTTGCAGTAGTTGTCAGACTTTTGTCCGGATCCGTTCTCTTCGAATAAGCAATTAGTGCCAAGTGTCTTTGCAATAGAAAATTGCCCCAACTCGAGCGCTACAATCCTATCTAGTTTTGAGGCAAATCGATTCTGTGCAAGGGTTCCATCTCTCTGAAAGGCCAGCTGACATATGATGTTTTGACATAGGGAAAACGATGATTTTCAATTATCTCGTCCTCAATCTCGCGTCAATTCGACGTTTCGCATGGAAATAGACGATCAGACTTTACAAACGATTGGAAAGAGAACATTTTTCTGCATTGAAGAACTGTCGAATCCAATCTGCTCACACAGATCAAGGGTACATTTGGTAACACTCCGGCACCCAAGAATGTATACATCGAGATGAGGGAAGTTGAAATAAATCTTTCGCACAGTTTTTCAGTAAAATTTCGCTTCTTGTGACGACGATGGGATTTATTCTAGGGAAGCATCATTACAGAGAAAAGAAGAGTTGTCTCACTCAGTAAGAGATTCCATCGAAATTCAAGGAAACGATCTCTCGTCAATCAGAATCGTCATCTCCTCCCTCTTCATCTGTATCATTTTCGCCTTCCTCATTGTTAGTATCATCTTGTACATCCCGAATATCTTGTTCTAATACTACTTGTTGAATGCGACGTCGACCTTGGAATGATTCGAAACCTTGATGACGAGCGTAAGCTAAGTACCAGACAATGGAGACTACGTATGCACAAGCTCCAACAGTCACAGCGCCACTGGGACACGTACAGTACCAAGCAGTAATAGGATCTCCGGATAATCGGCAGCGAACATGTTCGGTAACAAACCGTTTGGTCAACCGAACTATCGGTTGACACTCTGCTTTTTTTGTTAAAAATGGCTTCTAATGAATTTAACTATACTTCATCCAAAATAAGTACGTAGTTCTTGTATTAAGTAAGTACTAGAGAATTAGAGGTGCAATGGGTTCTCTCGTTTAATCTTCACGTTAATTAAAACATGGGTGATTTTTGTATATTGCTGGTTTAGAAAAAATTCTAGGATCATTCGGGTCCAGTTTTGAAAATTTCGGGTCGGGTCCAGAAACCTTCGGATCGGGTCAGGTTCGGGTGAATATAAAAAATATTGATTCGGATCGGGTTCGGGTAAAAAATCTTTGGGTCGCGTCGCGTTCGGATCATCCACATAAGACCGGATTCGGTCTCCGATTGCCATACAAGTTGTTATACCTTGGAAGATATATTATTATATTTTCCAAATTTGCAAGGTTTTGAATTAAGCAGTGTATGTAACAATACAGACATGGTGTAATTTATTTTAACAGTTTTCATTCAACACGAAATTTTTCTATCACTGCATTTGCTTCATATCGGCGATACTTTGGCTGCTTTAGGACTGGGTGTTATTTAAAAACGTTGCTGCAAACATTATTATTTATAAAAGGATTTAAACTGGAGATGGAAATCTGTCAACGAAGATTACAACTAACCTCAATTTAGAAAAAATTCAACGCGAATATTGAAAACATTTAAAGATCACTGTTGCAAAATACTTATCAGATTTCCATAAAACGTCATACATACACTGATAATTCGGTATAGAACATTGATACAAAGTAACACGTGTACCATATATGTATATAAGCCGTAATGGAACTTAAGGATGTTTGATAATTAAAAATAAATCGAAGAAGAAGACAATTAAAGCGGAAAGATAACGAAAAGGAAAGGTAAAGCTTATCAAATTTCTTTTGAAAAGTTGGTTTTTTTGACTTTTTAAATTTTTGTGTACTAAGAGAAGTACGAAAGGTGAAATAAAGCGCGAGAAATAAGAAGAGAACGTTGCTTGAATAAACGATAACAAAAAAAACGAAGAGTAACTAAGCTTGGATCCAAATATATCATTGTAAGTGTATTAAAGCGACAAAACATTTCCAATATATCTAATTCACAAGAAGTGGTAGTCAAATCTGATTCAAGAACATTTTCTATTAGAAATTAAAAAATGTTAATTGAGATTTAGTGCGACTTTAAAGAAATAAGTTATAGTTTTGTAGCTTATGTTGATGGTTTGATGTGGTTTATGTCGATTCTTGATCGACCAGCAGCATAGGAGCACACATCTAAAACAGATATCCTGTTAACAATATTTTCATCTGTCCCAAGTACTCACTTCCGCACAACTGTTTTCCGCAAATCCGCTGCTCAGCCATATATTTTGCCCTTCGAGCCTTCCCATCCAATCCACATAAAACATCCCATATGCAGCAGTCCTTCGAGCGCTCCGTATCTGTTCAAACGTTGGTGATTGCAAAAAAGAAATTTTTTGACATCCGAATTCGCCTACTACCCAACGGTTATCCATCTCATTTCACTGACGCCCATTACGACCGCTTTGCCAAAGATCTCCGTCTCCGTCATCTTGAATCTCTCTTCCAGAATCAAAACAAATATGAATACTGTCGCACAAATGTTAGAGATCAGAATTGGACAAGCCACCGACCACTCCGAAAACAAATTGACCCCAAAAAAGATTTGCTCCTTCACTTTTCATACGTACGGAAATCACAGCGGTAGTAAATGCATCTCTAAATCTAGCAGACATTCCTGAATGTACCACCCCTCCTCCAGTACGCAACCAGCAACACAGTCCTTTGGTACAATGGCATCATATCCACCATTTACTCACGCAACAGTGCCAGAAGTTATTTCATCACCAAGCAGTCGACACTCGCAATACAAGCAGCAAGGGTCTCGCCGACCAGCAATCTTACGTCGAATCCGTCAAACAATTGGAAGCTTAGAAGAAATTCCAACATTTCCCGCTGCCCAACGGCCTCGTAAGGCAAACCACATCCGACCACACTGGTGGCTTATGGGCTTGTTCCATGGTTGTCTGCGATTGCTGCCGTTGTACCGGTACCAGTGGCTGCGATACTATATATAATATATCTAGATGTCTTTACTGTGAAGCCCAAAAAAGCGTTTAATTGTAATTATGTCATATGTGAAAGGGTGAATTTTTTCAAAAATACTGAAAAACATTGTTTTTTTGGAAATGGTACCAGTAACCTCAGAACAACCTGGAGAAGAATTTGGCACACTTTTTTGGGCGTTCTTACCCTTTCTTTTGGGTGTTCGTGGGTGTTCGTTGAAAATGTATACTTAAACAGCGAAACTATGAAAACTTTTTTTGGTGTTCGTTAGACCTGGCTATACTCAGCTCGACGAGCTCTATCGATTGGCTAAATCAGATTTTAATTTGGGAATGTTCGTGGGTGTTCGCGTCTTTTAATAATACCCCGTTTACTATGAAAAACTTTCAATTTTTTGAGTTTTTTTAAGCTTCTGTAGGTAAAACCCATATTTTGAGTTGAAGGTTGCCGGCTTTCTTAAGTCTTTATTGCAAAAATATAGCCCGTAAAATTTGCTATCGTTGCATATAAATTTAATTAACAGCCGTTTAAGATAGAGAAAGGTATTAATTAAGAGTAATAATTAAAGAGAAAGAGTGTTAATTTTGCCAAAAAAAGTGTAACAGCGTTACGAAAAACGTAACAGCGTTAGGTTTGTTTTTTGATTTTTTCTCACGACTAAAAGTAATTAAAGAAAAACTTTTTTTACTATTAGAAAGCCCGTTTGATGCTCTACAAAATCTGTTCATGGAGCATTTCATTTGAACAGCAACATTCGCAGGAAATTAACATTTAAATGAGATCACTCCAAAGTTAGGGTCCTTTTATGTAACAGCGTTACGCGATAAAAAAATCTTTCTAGAAGTTCGAAAGTTCAATCAAAAATTTTCATTTTTATAGCATAAATAGAGAAAGACAAGCTGCATCAAATGGTGTTTGAATAACCTATTTAGGTCTTACTGTTTTCGAGATAATAGAAAAAAAGTGTGTCAGAAACGTAACAGCGTTACGTTTGGACAAGCCGTAACACTCTTATGGCATGATATGACATGACTCTATCACACGCCATAACATGGTACATTTGTTCGAGCAGCAAATATAGATTTTATGAAGAATTTTATATTCAGATTATTGATATACAATCTGCAATAGATGTGCCTTAATGTGGTATTAAATCAGTTTTTTTTCGTTTCTGTTTATTCCGAGAAGTAAAAATAGTAGTTGTGATCAATGAGTCATGAAACGTTTATTAATAATCGATTTTTCTTTATTATATCCAGAACGTAAATCAATGCCTGAGATGAATTTTAATCAAAATTAGCAGAATCTGTCCCTGTATATAACTTCTAATAAAGCCCGTGTGAAATGAAAATTTGCAATTTTGTTGTTTATGTGGCGAACGAAATATGCTATCAGCTAGAAATCTTCAAATGTGCAAGATTAAAACGAAGCGGCTATAAGAATTCCAGAATATTGCGTATTTCGCGATTTTCGTCTCTTAACAGAACCAGGTCTTTCACATATTTATTCGCAAGGAGAGCAAATTGTTAAACAAAAAGTGCACATTTGCTAATGCCATTTTGACGTAATTATATTCACAAACATTCTGCTTACTTTTATTCTTGAAGCTAAATAGTTTTGGACAAGTACTTGATAGAAGAAACAGAAAACTCTTGGTTGAAAATATCATTTACAGGCTTGTTTCATTCACTTGCTTAAGGTACGAACAACAACTTAGTGTTTTAACAATTTCCCATTTTTTTATCATTCAGCTGGAGATGATTCACCACCAACACATTACATGCCCTTAAGTGTTATATCATGAACAATTGGCTGAGAAGATCACGTTTCTAAACGCAATACAGACGTCAGCCGTTCATATACAAATATAAAAGAATAAGCACAAAGCGTGTCATGTTTCCGATGAATTTCTCTTAACCCTTTCCCCACGCATCGTCATCTTGTTATAACGATTTTACGATATTTTACATTCGGACATTCGAGGATAAAGGGATAAAGGGTTAAACGAACGCTGACCAATATGCATCAGAGACCACAACAAGTTAAAGTTTTGCCACCCGAACCCAAATAAAAAAATTTTCGGTTAATCCTCCGTATCTTGCTGTAAAATTCCGCCAGTTAATCGACGGCTATACGAAATTCAAAAGATTCTTTACATAAGTGGATGGTTTTACTAGCAGACAGAACAAAAAGATTAGTAAATGGTTTTGTGAGTGGTAATGTTACACTAACTAACCTCCTTTTTATCTTTATTTTCGCGTGTGCAGAAAATGGAAAAAAACTGAAGTGTTTAAAAGAAAACGGTGAAAAAAGAGAAAAGGAAATGGAGTGTTTAATGGAGATTAATCATCCGACTGTGATTTTTGTTTTCTAAAATTGCTATTATTATTGTAGGTGTGATGATATGATGCATAGTGGGCAACCATGTGGACATTAGGTGAAAAAACGAAAGTGGACTTTTTGCAAATTCAGATAGCAGAACATATACTTGGGGAAACGCTCTATCTTTAGGTGTCACACTTAGCGAGAAATGAGTAAATCAAATTTTTGTCGGAAAACAGAGCGATAAAGATAAAAGATTATTTTTGTCGAAACAAAGTACGACGTTTACAAATTTTATAGAGAGTACAAAACTAGATCTTCCAGTCTATCTACTCAGGAGAAAAATAATATCTAGGACGCTTTATCACTGAGAAAAAAAATTTTCTTTCTCCGCTAAGTGTTTTCCAAAGAGCATACCTCAGCATATTAAGGTTCCACAATTTTTCGCAGCTTCAAACTCAACGAAATTTTTACAGAAGTTACATCCACTGACGATATACAGATGCTGTTAGCGCAAACTAGCGCAAATGCTCTTGGGCTGACGAGGAAAGGACATCAACTGTCCGATCGCTTTTTCTCTGAAACTTAGTGGAAAATAGGTAATCGAGTGGAGAATAGTAATCTCTTTTAATAATACCTACTCGTAGCCCGTACATTTCTGATCAAAATGAGCCACATTCCAGCTGTACAAGACCTTTCTTTGCAAAGTTATAGAACTTACAAGAAAAGCCTTTAAAAGTTCATTGTCAGCTCAAAGCTATATTGATATTAACACGTTAAGTGCATCTAAGAATGAGCGTGTGTGTAGCGAGCATTTCTCGCCGGGTGATATTACATATTTAAACAATAAATCGTCATTAGGTAAACGTGGTCTTCCAATCCACGCCGGAAAGACAGTTGAGTATAATTGTTTTGAGTAGAAACGTGTTAATATCAATATATAAAATGATACACCGTT